AGTGGCGGCCTGGGAGTTTCTGCCAGCTCGTGGACCTGGCTGCTCTGTCCTCCAGAGAGCCGGCAGATCAGTATCAGGACGCTCAACTCACACTTGCCTGTGCAAGTGCCTCAGACCCGCCTAAGGGAATTCTTACATTGCATTTATGCAGGGGCGAACTTTTACCAGGAGCGTTTGGATTTATCACAGGAAACTTAGTATTGATAAAAATCGGTCAGATGCCCTGTTCATCCATACCCTTAACAGTGCTATAAGAGACCTGGAATCTTTTACTCAGAAAGTATCCCTCATTCTTCATTTTTCCTGACAGAAATGTCACAAGACAGTCTGAGGGGAAAGAGGGGGTGGGGGTCAGGGGTTAGTCTTTAATGCGGTGAAATTACTCTTTAGGCCCATGTAGGATTCCAAAGTGGAATGCCAGCTGGAATTGTGATCACAGCACAAAAATAGAAGCTCCATGAGGGAAGGGACCAGGTCTGCCTTACTCTTAGCTGTACATCCAGTTCAGTGCCTGATGCATACTGGACACACGATACCTTTTCTTGAATGAAAGCATACATATACCCTCCACATTTTCAAATCAAACGACTGGGACAGGGAACCTTCAAAGTAGTTTTCTGTGGATTTTCTCCAGGAAAGGTATTTGAGTGACACTGCCTAGTCCACCGCCAACTAACCATAACTTTGAACAACTTACCTGCTCTGGGACCTTACTTTCTGTGGTAGAAGGAAGTTAGAATGGCTGGTTTCTAAGGTGCCTTCCTGTGCCATCAGAGGCCTTAGGTGTCCCTCTGGGTACTGATGGGCACGACCACATTTAAGTGATGTGACAGAAAAGGGATGAGATAGTGGGGGTGGGGTGGGGTGGGGTGATGTAGTCCTAATAGTTATAATTAATAAGTGACCAGAGGCAGGAAACCTCACTCATACCGTAAGGAAGCCACTGAGAGAAATGTTAGGGCATCCCCCAATCTTCACCACTTTCTCTTGAAACTTTTCATCTTTCTGAAATCTTTATTCCTGCCATTTTTCACAACTTTCCTGTCTTTAATAAGGAGTACTTGCTTTGTGCTGGGTCCTTTACACAATTGAGCTCATACGGTCCTTACAACAGCCCATTTTACAGGTGAGACGCCCAGACTCAGATGTTCAGAAATCTGCCCAGGTCACTCAGTGAGCAGTGCCGAGCAACAACTCTCCTACCTTCCATTTTTCTAGATTACTCTTTTTTTTTTTTTTTTTTTTTTAATCTTTTTTCCTAGGCTTGCCACTGGCACCAAAATGAAGATGTTTGCCAGCTCCTAATCTAGATAGTGGTAGAATTTATCTTGACATTCACATGGAGAGCTTCAGACTGCCTCCACCAAAGCCTGCTGCATTACTGGAGCCCTTAGTGTTGATTGGCTTAGTGATTACTCTGTAGAGTAGTAAGTTTCCTCATTTGGAGTGTTCACAAAGAGGCTGGATGAGCATGTCTTAGGGTTTTTATAGAGTAGGTGTCCAATACACACTGAGCGAGCGACACTCATGACTCCAGAATCAGGGAGGGGCCGTAACTGTCTGTGAAATCACAAGTTACCGTCTTCGTTATGACATTAGTAACTGCCCATTGCATGCAGACTGCCCATTGCCCAGCACCACGCTGAGACTACTGTGCTCTCCCCTGGTCCAAGGTTTTCCAGATGTTCTTTGCAGCTCATGCACTCCCTTCTGTGGCCCTCCATTCACCTCCCAGAAGTGCCATGGGTGACGTCAGCCAGTCAAGAGCATCCAATCAGCATGAAAAATCCAGAGTTATCACTAACAGTATTCCAACCCAGACCACACTGGCCATGTGGAGAGGCCTTGCCTGATGTGTCGTCTGGGGCAACACACGTTTCTAGCAGGCTTCTGGAAGTCCTGAAACTTGGCTCATGCTTCCCCGCCCCACATTGGGCACCACTGCCCTTCTCCTTACTTCTTCTCAGCTTGACTGCCCTTAACTCCTGGAGAAGCTACTGCAAGACCCCAGGAAACAGAACATGCCTGCCTGTCTCTCGGTTTGATCAGTGCACTTGCCACGCTCAGGTTGTGGCTGCAGTGTCTACTCTGCTCTTTGTCAAGCCCCAGCTCGTGGCAGGTAGACTTAAGTCCCATGCCCTCCGTGGCCATGCTGGTTCAGCA